GAGAATGCGTGTATCATGGAATGGTTTGGTGATTATGGCATATTTGTAATATGCCATAATCACCAAACTATTCCATTTAACAAAAAAATATTCTATTATTCTTTTGATTAGTACTTTGATGAATAGAGGCGTTTGTACCAAAGGTATATGGAAATAGCTCTTTCTTAAAGATTTACATATAAAAAAGTTTTATATAAAATAATATATTAAACAAAACCGCAAAAAGTTTCTGTAGTTTCTTCTCGGTGGTAAGCTTTAAAAACTGTAAAACAAATTCTAAGTAATAAAACCGTAAGGAACAAAAGGATTGAAAAATGTTACCTTAAATTTATTATGGACTTAGTAACCTTAGTAACTACCTAAATACCAAGACAGAGGTAAAAGTACAAAAGAGATAAAAGGGTACAAAATAGATAAAAGAATACTCATAATGATAGAAAAAGGAAAAGTAGCTAAGGGCCTAACATATACTTTCCAATTTAATATATTGCAAATATCAAACTCGTTAGAATTTTTTCTGAGGCTCATGTTAAGCAGTTAACTTATAAGGGAAAAAAACCCACGAAAGCCTTAACGTCACTAAACCCACAGGTGACCACAAGGCCTATCAAGTAATCAGTGACGACAAGCACAATTTTCTTATGCGAAAAGGTGACAAGCATGCAGTGTTTACATTAGTTTAGTGTGTGGCATTAACGCAGAAACGCTTACATTAAATTCACATATTCGAAGTTCAATCAGACTTTTTTCGGTTAGTTTTAATGCGACCCGTTATAATTGTTACCTTTCAGTAAGAGCGTCAGTGATGGTGAAAGGTAAACGATAAAAGGTTTTGCATGGGAAGTACATTATTTTTATTTCAGTTCAAGGTCTAATCCATACCTCCTATGTGACTTGATTAACAAATTGAGGAAGTGTATACGGAAGCGAGCTCCGAACATCTAACGTATCATCTGAAAAAAAAAATGTGACGCTATTATTGATGTAAGCGTCATAATTTGCAGGCAATTAATCAATACGTTTACGACGAACGCGCTAGAGCGAAAATGCGATTATAAATCAATACAGAAGACAATTAGGAAAGTAATGTGCTTCGTGTGAATTGATACGATTTATTAGGGAAAAGGAAGTGAGTTTTATCGTAGATAATTCAATGAAGGTAATTATGGTTTCTTTTATGCGTTACGAACACCGCTATTTATCAGATTAGCCTTGAGAATCAAGAAATCACCAAAACAATAACATAATGCTTCGGAAACGCAAAAGAAGGAATTGTTATAAATAATATTATTAGTATTAGACAAGAACGGGATGTTAATAAAGAGTAAGTGTGAATAGACTGTAACTAAGTTGGTGCATTAACTATCTGAGACTACGTCACTAGTTACAATCGGAAGCCAATGATTGAATCATTGAGTAAAATCAATAAATTCGATCAAAACTTTTTACAAGGATCCACATGATACAAACGATTTTAGAATTCAATCACGTGACTTTAAAACATCATTACGAATGAAATACAGACGCAAAACGAGCAAATGAAATCGAATCTGAACCATAAATCTCTACCAATCACATGTTATTGCGTGATCTAGTCAGATACGTTCTCCTAACGACATTGATATACTAACCGACACAGATAGTGACTTGCGTTGGCTTGGTGAACGTGAACATACGTTATATATTTCCAGTAGAGTTGCGACGAATAGCCTATTCGGCCAGTGGTCAAATGCCGAATATTCGCCAGGACGGTCGAATATTCGGCTTTCGACCAAACAGGTCTGATCGAAAATGCGTGTGAGTTATCACACGAATGTTTCCAAATCAAGTTCATATTGTGGCGTTAAGCACACCGCCCTCTCTCCTATTTGGCAAAATCCGATCTTCTGATTATTTTTATATAGGTAATGATACGTACGAAAGTACATAGAAGTACATATCTATCTGATTTGCAGATAATCTTGGTTCATTTCCGAGTTAGTTAGTTAGATGGAAACGAACTACTGTACTCTATTAATTCTTCTTTAAATTTTATGTTTTTGAAAACTTTAGGCAATCCGGCTTCGTATGAAAAGTAAAAGTAGCGGAGCTTCCATATAAGTGATGGACTATCAGCAGAACATATCATATAAGTATTGTATGTAATTGAAAATATTTAGGGGAATATATTCATAGAAACATTAATATTAAACAGAGTTAGAGAATGAGATTGTCTCTAAATACAACTAATGCCGTAGAAAATTGATTGTTCAGTGATTTATTACTAGCTTTTAGCCCGCGGCTTCGCTGGCGCTGAAGCCCTTAAATAAATATCTTTCTTTAAAAAAATCCAATTAAAAAATAGCCTATGTCCTTTCTCAGGTTCTAGATTATCTGTGTACTAAATTTCATTTAAATCGGTTAAGTAGTTTTGGCGTGAAAGCGAGACAGGCAGAGTTACTTTCGCATTTATAATATTAGTATGGATTCTCACGTGATTGTTTTATGTGTCCAATATAGGCGCTGTTCGGCCCAGAGGAATTTCGTATTTATTAAATTATTCGTTAATATATATTTGACAAACCACTATTCATGGCATCTCTGTCTGGCCTGGTGTTATTGTTGTGTATAATAAAAGCAAATATATAAGAATGAAACTTTTTAGTTATCATTCGGCGTGTGTTACATAACACCGCTATTGTTACCTTAGAGGCCTGCTGAAAAACTCGCGGCACGTTCACCATTGTGCAGATCAGATACAATTTCTATGGCTGACATAATGGAGCGTGCAGGAAACAAAAAAACATACAAAAGACCGTGGCACAGTATGGGAACAGCAACGATCCGAAAAGATTCTCGTAAACATATTATACTGTCTGAAAGGGTAGTTGGAGTGTATGCCTGTTTTATTTTATATACTTACTAATATTAAGCGAAAAGATTTGTATTTTTGTATTGTTCGTAATGAATAAACACAAAAACATACTGGACCGATTCCAAGAAGGAAAAAAAACCACAAGACCTCCCATGCGAAGCTGGGACGAACCACTAGTACTTTATAAAACATTGAATAGTTTATAACTACTTTTTTGATTACCTTACGATTACCTAAATAGGTATGCTAAGTGGGTAGTTCGAAATAATTATGACGAGGGTTGGGCTTAGCTAAACGAAGGAATGACACGTCAGTAATTGACAGAGCTAGGCTGCCATTAATCAGAGAACACATTTGCCACATTTTGACATAAAAAAAATCTATTAGTGATTGGCGACTATCTAATGAACCTTTTCCTGTGTCGTCGCTTGTTTGTTTAAAAATATTCTTTAAAACGTTCTAAATTAGAGCGACGTTCATAGTGCGGTAGATCACAATTCCCAGCACGAACCGCTGGATATGCGATTCGCGTTCGCGTAACAGAATATCGATTCCGCTGACGCAATACGGGTGCACGTGTAATCGATTTCAATAGCAAATAGTCGAAGAGTTACGTTCGCGGTCGGTTTCTTTTTCTATTTGCCTTACAACGTTCCGTTGCCTCATCGCACATGCAATGTAAATTGCTTTTGGATACGCTTTAATCCGCTTGTAAAAAAGTTAAGCAGTCAATTTGAAGTAAATAGAGCCTAAACAGACATTATTATTGATATATCTGTTAATTCTCACTTCTATCTCAATCTCAATTGTAAATAATATTTGCTTATGTTTGTACTCAGATGTAAGATACTTTTTTTGTAAATACCAACTATATCATTCTGAAAATAAGGGATTGAAGCAAAAGTAACCTGTTTTTCGTTTCTATATAGAAAAGTCCTAAAGCCTACTAATATAATAATAACGAGCAAAATTAAATCAACAAATAATACCGGTCAGAAAAACATACAATGTGTGTAAGCACATTAACAATTTGCTAATTTGGAATAAATGTACTCTTGTAACTATTTTCGATTAATTTTGTATACTATGTCGACTTTATATACGGTCAAATAACATTTTTAATGTGAATTGTCCTTGGTGAATTGCCTTCAAACGAATGCTTAATCCGATGTTAATTTGGTATTTAAAGGATTTATTACAATCCTATGCATAATTCACACATTCCTAGCGAACGTACAAAGCACTCACGATACTAATGGACGTAACGAATTAATCTACATACGTAAAGTGTAGGTCATATGAAATACGGCGCCAAATGATGACGGTTTGTTTTTTTTTTTTTTTGTTTTCGTAACTAGCAGTTCAGTAGCCTTTAAGCCACTTATCTACAGTGTTTTTTATACAGCAGTAAGAAAATATTGAATTACGTTTAGTTTTAAAATTCGCAATAAAGCCAACAGTCGGATTTGTGTAAACAAGCAGATTTCTTAACAAATAGACCTGATAGTCATATTCACACTGTAGTATTTTTTTTGTCGTGAAGGAGTTGTTAATCAATAAAACTGACATTTATTTCTTAATAAATTTTTTTAGCAATAAGCTGACTACAGTTGTAATTTCACTTTGTGAGATTTTGTAACGCCTGACGGAACGCTTTACCTTTTTAAAATTTTGTAAATATTCATTTTAAAATGTTATTTAAAAAATGTAAGCATACTGTAAAGTAGGTTTACTGGGTGGCGCCAAGCATTGCTAATGCTTCCCCTTCACAATCCTTACACTCGGTTGCATCTTCCACGTCTTTACGTACGCGTACCTTCACGTCGCTTACCAATCCCCACTCTGGTTTAAATGACCACAGTTCGTACTAAGTAACCACCGAACTTCCACTGACTCTTGCCTCATAAACAATTTTAGCCGACCAAACTCCCAGCACCGATCCGTGTACCTAAATCGACGAGGATCATCTCTTTCCCAACTTGCCTCACAACATTTCAATTTGCACTTCTTCTTTCACTTATGTAAGAATATTAGTCAAAAAAGAAGCGAAGAAGACTTCACATAGTAATATTGTCACAAATACATTTGTCTCCAACACCTATTGCGGCAACTTTAGATAGCTTAGTCACAGGCTTGTGTTACTTACGTAGTCGGAGAGACTCTTCATGCCGTACGGGAAGCGCTCGCGATCAGGAACCAAACGCCCCCTAGGATCGCGCTCCCTCTCAGGCCAGCAGTCGTCCACGTTTATGTACTCGTAGCCAGCCGCTGCGTAGCCCTCGGAAACCAGGATGTCGGTCATCGTGCGGAACAGCCGGTCGCTGGGAGATAGAGCCGATTGTAGTGCAAGGTATGCGCCAGTATGTATATACTGTCACTATGAAACTGAAGAACAGAAGCTTCGGCTGTTGCACGAATGGGCAGGCCCGTCCGGGGATTTAAAACCGGCCTCACGGAAGACCGGCGTGTAGTGGAAGTATTAGTAATACTTTCGCGTTTATTCTGGTGAGTGAGGTAACCGGGGCCCACCTTTTTTTTAATACTGGGCACCGCATGGTTGTTGTAGATGTCCCAAAAGTGGCAGCGCAGGTGCAACGTGGGTTTTTTTAGTGGGTACCCCGTAACTCCCACATACCTCTGCTGTCTACCCACAAGACGGCGGGGGATCCATAAAGGATTTTTAAACTTTTTCAGTCTCATGAGAGGCAGGAGGTGCGCCTTGTCACCATCAACTGTTCATAAATGTGAACCCATGGCTATTGCACCTAAGAAATAAAAGAACGAAAATCTAATCGGTGTCTGGGAATAGGATTTGAACCCGTGACCTAAGATTCCTAACCCGTTGAAGCGTCACTGACTTTGTTGCGATAGCATCCGATGTACTTATTAGATAAAGGAGTTTGTTTGTTTATATTTATTATAAATTCATGGCGTATGAATATAATAAACAAAGGTTCAAAACAAAAGTCCTCTTCTGTATAGAGGGTATCAGGGCATAGTCCACCACGTGGCCGCACTGCGGATTGGTGGATTTCACATATCTTCGACATATTTTTTGTTATTATTTTTAAAATATGCAGGTTTCCTCACGATGTTTTTCTTCACCGCTAAGTACGCGATGATTCGGCACTTAAAAGTAACAATCTCATTGGTGCCGGCAACGGGAATCGAACTCAGGTTGCTCGAGTATATTGTATTAAAGGCGAGCGCCCGGACACTGAGCTATTACGGCTATTGTTAAAAACAAAGATTAATTACATCCAAAAGACCACGAGTGTTAAAAGTAGTATAAGGCAATCCCAATGACTTTATCCAATTTGAATGGACCTTTTTAAATTAGATCGAACAAATTATACACTTTTAACTATATAGAATTATAGTTAAAGGTGTATAATTAACTTATAATAACTAGTTTTGCGTTTTCGCAATAACTTTGAAACGGATGCACTGATATTTCGTACTCCCTACAAGTTTATAGAATTTCGACATTTTAATGAGTCAAGCGAGTGTAAAAGCTGATTTGAATAAAATATTAGAAGAAAGACGCCGCAGAATTTTTATGATCCTTAATTTAATTTTTTTTTAGCCTTAGAACATAATTCATGAGGATGGAGAAACAAAGAATAATTAACTTTTTTTTTTTTTTTTATGTGAAAAGTTGCTAAACGAGCAGACGGTTCACCTGATGGTAAGTGAATACCGCCGCCCATGGACATCTGCTACACTCGAGGGTTACAGAAGCGTTGACAACCTTTTGAAGATTGGGCTCCGGCTACCTCACTCACCAGACGAAACGCGAAAGTATTTGTCATACTTCCACTTATGCCGGTCTTCTGTGAGGTCGTGGTACTTACCCAGACGGGCCTGCCCATTCGTGCAACAGCCGAGGCTGCTGCGTGGCCCTACCACCGTTAACTTAAAAACTAGCACTACACACCGTACCGATGTTCGCGCGGAGAAAAAAAAGTGCTTATAACAATTTTTATATTTGTGTATATATTATTCTATTATGTAAGGAACTTACCGGGCGTACTCAAAACATAGCTAAATAGTGTTTCATCAAACACAAGGAATGAAATAAAAGATATAGAATAAATTAAATTATTGCTTACCTTATACAATTGTCGGGGTCATTCTTGCAATCCGTGTTACACCTAAACCTCTCCCAGGCCAGCCAACCCATTGGCGGAGTCAATGCGAGTCCATTATCCAGGCCGGATATTGTCCCCAACAAACACAGCACGAACACCGTCCACAAACACGACCTCCACGACGCCATCACTATCACCGTATTATTAGATTCGAACCGAAATACGTAATGCTATCTCTCTAAGGATGCTATCCTCATAGTCTTTTAATTCGCAAGTTTACTGCACAATTTTATCTACAGAGTTTAATGTCAAAGTGACAGTGTCACTTTTGAGGTTATGAAACGAGCGCGCTGAACGAAGAAGGTCGGCGTAATCCTTGACACAAGCTCCAGTCGATATCTGAAACAAGCGGAAGATGGCATAAGTATTGATATAATCATTACACTGTCGAGCTACATTACTATCTAATGGTTCTTCCTGTTCTCGGATGTTGTTGTAAACAGATAACTCGCGCATGTAGCTTATGTGATAGAAATTGTTGTTTATGTATTTAATAATATTATCTGTGCTTCAATGATATTCGCATAAAATGTGGGTTTTAATTATTTATGATATTTTGATTACGTCATATATTTCTTAACAAAGACTAAAACACCGATATGATTGAAAGTATAGTTTTATATATTTAGTTTTCCGGTCTGCGCTCCGATTCCTGAAATTTGGTCCGGGTGCTGTTATGGGATGCAACCTGTTCCGACGCGCTGGCCCCTTCCCATCTACATGGAACCAACATCAGAGCTGTTGCGACTTGTGAAGCGGCTGAAAAAGCTAGAGCCTGCAAATACAGAGGTCTAGGCTCCGAATATGAATTTGTCCCGTTCGGTGTCGAGACCCTTGGTCCGTGGGGTCCTAGCGCTATAAGGCTTTTTAAGGAAATAGCAAAAAGGTTAGTCGACATCACAGGAGACCGAAGAGCTCGTACAAAGAATAAGTCTAGCTATTCGAAAGAGGAACGCTGCCAGTATCTTCGGAACCTTGCCTAAAGGGACTCCTTTGCTAATACATTTTAGTTATTACATTATTTTTGGTTTTTTTTAAGGTTTTTAGTTTTAGTTTCATTGTTCTAGTATATATTTTGTATTAGTTTATCATTTGAATGTTATTTAAGTTTGTTTTAAGTTTGGTTATAGCCTTTTACTAGATATAATTTTTAAGACGTATTGTTTTATATGTATTGTTTTATATTATTTTATATCTATATAATAAGAAACGTTGAAAAATGAGCATACGGTTCACCTGATGGTAAGAGATTTCCGCTGACCATAGACATCGCAATGTTGTTGCAGTTGCTATGCCGATTTGAAGATGGTAAGCCTCAAGTTAACTCATTCATAGACGGAATGCAACACTAGAAGTATTTGAGTATAAGTTTTACTCCAGTTATATATATGAGGTCATACTACTCCCGCTTTACTTTCTCTCTCTCTCTTTTTCTATCTAATGCTATGCCTCTATGCTAGAATTTTTCTTTAAATTAAAATGTTGTTTATCAATGTATTGTACCAGCTATATCTAGAAAGATTAAATAGGAATCCTTTTTCCATTTAATCGCATGTGAGCCACAATATGGGCATGAACATTTTTGACAAAAATTAGTAATTTTTAACCTACCGTCATTCACTCTATTCGTTTTCGTTATTAAGTAACGAATTTCGATTATATTTTGAGATAAGGTAGTGCTAATATCGTTATTATATTTCGTACCGGTTTTATTAGGCACTAGTGAACATTCAAATTAAAAACACTCATGGACGAAATCCGGGTTGCTTCACAAAAAGTTAATGTTCGAAATTAAAGTATCATTGTGAATTATTTTTATTGCCAAATCTCTATTTTCGAAATTATGCGACATACGGATGGAAGCAAGGTTGTTATATCTAACAATACATTAATTCTCGGACAAAAACGTTTATGGCTGAAAAAATTAAATAATTTAAAATATTGCAAAAAATATTAAAGATCGGTGGGATTTCTGCTGGAGAAGTTGGAAAACAATCGACATCTGAACAACATAATTATAGATCTTTCGTTGTTAGCTATTTATGTTTTTTTTTTTCTAAAATTTATATTCTTTTTGCCGTTAAAAATGTTAAATAATTATAATGTCAATTATAATTGAAAAAGGAAGGAAATTCTACAAAATTGTGAAGATTTAGAATTATACTAGAACTAAACATAAAAAATACAATGACAAAGAAAAAGTTCCCACGACCTTCAATTTCATTGAAGTTTATTCACGTGGTTAGATAATAAACGGGCGTTCAAATAGTTTTTATTTCGGTCTCATCGAAATAACACGATGATATTGGACAATGACAAAATGCGAATAAAATTTTTACGCGGGTAAATATATAAAGTAACACTAATAGACGTAATAATCTGAGGAAAAGGTCAATGTTTCACATTTGCAGCATTTATAAGCTCTCAGCTATTTTTCAAAATTAATGTTTTTTCACAAACTTTAAATCAATAACCTATTCATCGAATTGATAAATATTCAAAATAAGGCAGAACCAAATCGTATTTAATTAATCTAGTAATTAACACGTATACTGCATATTATTGTTAATTGAAGCTGCTTTACCGAGTTTCATCGTCAAATTTAAATTTATATAAAATACCAAAAAATACCAGATCGAAAGACCACGTTTAGAAATAATTTAGAATTGCGTACCGGTATAAAACTTAAAAATTTTATATATTATAATTTACTTGCGCGACGGCTACAAGATACTATGCAAGCGAGGCGTCATTTGCAATCATGAATTTACAGTATGTAGATTGATTAAAGTCTGAGACAAGTCAAAAAGCTCAACACCTATAACCTACACCTTGTGATTAGTGATATCCAACTCTACTTAGGGGTCACTTGAGTCAGAGACTATTATGGTACTTTATTAACACAATCGCACCCAGATCCGGAAACGTAGGTTCGCTTCCCGCAGCGGCGAAAAACTTTTTGTCCAATAATAATAAAATATAATAATAAATAAAATTTAATGTTTCATATTGAGTGTAGAAATTAATACTGTAAAAATTATGTAAAATTTAAACAATCAGGCAGTTTAGATTTTTGGGAAATTAAATTCATTATGTAAGACGGAATTAGTGTTATATTATGAATGCGAAAATTCGTTGTTTGCTTGATTTTTCCCGCTTCTTCGCGACAACAGCTAAACGGATTAAAAAAAATTCGGAATGGAAATTTTTCGTTCGTGAACGCTCAAACGATTAAAGAAAAAAATATGAATCACCAGGTAAAGCTGGCGATTCAATTTTTTTTCCTAAATGCTCGAGGTTCAAACGGCGTGAGAAATTGAGCAAATGCAGGCAGAACTTTGAAACGAAATATCTTTCTATTGCACTTGGCATTATAAATATGTTATTGTCAGCGTGACCTGGTTAAGCAATTAGTGATATCCGAGTAGATCTAGGGGTCATTTGCGTCAAAGACTGTTCTGATGCTTTATTATGCTGCATTCACAGATTACGCTGCAATTACCAGATATTTATAATGCGTCTTATTACTGTTACTTATTTACTATTTCATAAGTAAAAAGCTCATTGAAGATGTTCATTTCGTTATCAGCTTTATTTTGAATGATTTTACGTACTGTTTTTGAATATTGTTACGAAAAAAAGAAAATATCCGCTACAATTGGTGTAACAATTGTCTTTTCGTCGAAATTATGAGGATAATTTTAAAATGTACATTTGTTAACGTTTTACAAACACTTTAACAAGAATAGATCACAAATTCTTGTCCTGGGTGAGAATCGAATCGACGACGCGCGATATCAACGTCTATTTAATTACCATCTGAGCACATCAACTTACTCTTACAGTGCTAAAAAAATCTAACACATATTTTAAAGCGAGTTTTGTTTTAAATTTAACCGTTCAAGAATTTAATTCAAACTTGCTCTTCTGGTCTTATGTTTTTCCAAGTAAAGTTACATCTTCTGGCTATTACAAGTGCATTAAACATTACACCTACAAGACGCCATTGCGATAAAGTACAGGGAAAGTTAGATCTGAATGTAACGATAAACGATAATGATTTCCGAGTTGCGTAATCAAGTACGAAAACAAGTTTGAAGGGCAGATTATGCTGTTTAAGTACGATTAGCTATTTAAATTTTTATTTAGGAAGCTATTTAATATAGATATTGCATACACGCGTGTTAATATATGTACACGTGAAAGATACATTTTATTAATTATAAATTCAAATTTTTGACGCTCCTTCAAAAATATAAAATTGTTAACCGCAGACAAAACCAACAAGTGCGCAACAAGATCATTTCTTTCCATTGATGTATATATTTTGTAATGGTTGCTTTAATACAATATAGGTAAAATCACAGAGATATTATAATGAACACATACGTTCATAACTATTGGTAATTGCGAATTTGTTTGATAATCCGATGGTGCGAGATCAGGGCTATATAACATCAGATCCCAACAATAAAAAATTTCGACTCGGAAATAATAAAGCAAAATATGGCGTAAATGTTCGTTTTTGCACTACACATTGAGGTAATAAAAAACTCAGAAAATTTCTTCGAAATGAATTTGTAGACGGATTTGTAGACCTAGATAAGGATAACAGCTACGAAAGTTTGCAACTTGAAGAAGATCATAAACATTTACGGATATCATAAAATTGGGAGTGTGAAACATCTGACACATCATGACTAAAATCAGCAATCATTTAGTTGCTAACCTATTATATTGTAAGTCTAAGGTAGTTATGGCAACAAACGGAAAATATTACCTGTTCTCAATGAATGCATTCATCCAACTGGTGCAAGTGTTAGCAACGAAATGATTGCAACACCGCGTATAGTTATTTAAGTTTCTTATAAATCCGAGGCTACAGCGTGTATTATAATGAATGATAGTTAAATAAAAGCTACTAAAGTTTAGCTCAAAAAAATACCAGTCAAATCTGATCATTGAGAGCGTGCTCTAAGTTTGGTGATGCGTTTAGAGAGAATTGGGCTGAGGAACATTTAAAAAATGAACTGAGAAACATTTAAAAAATACATTAGTACGTACAATACAATATTATTATAATGACCGACTAAACAATGTTATGACCGACTATGTTATGTTATGACCGACTAAACTCAGGGATTTGGAACTTACTTAATCTGTTTACTCAACGAAAAGTGAGCACCCGGCTACCGAGCTGCAACGGCCAAGATGAAAAATATGGATTATCAAAACTTATATATATTATAGACATCTAGAGAGTAGAGTAGTGTGAATAGAGAATACATCTATTTTATTCTTTGAGGCGGTTATACCTCACTAGTCTATGCATGGTTTCA